CTTCCTTGATTTGTCATCTTCGTCTGAATCCGAGATATGGTAATAACTCGAATTGTTCTCAAGGTTAAATAAAGAGATTGAGGGCTTCACTTTTCTAGCATATGAGTCCCCTCGAAGTTCCGGTAAGATTTCAGGTGAGACAACTACTTATGGGGTAGGTGGTATATTTACCCCTTCCGGTGAACCTGCCCCAGGCGCACTAGTCTGTTGTAAGCCAACTAACTTGGCAACGATCTGATCAACCAAAGACTCTTGGTTCTTCATGATTGTATTCAGAGTACTCAGACTACTCTGGTTTATCTTGTCTTCAAGTTCTTTCTGCAATTTTGCCATGTTCTCCTCGATTTTCTCCATTCTTGCTTCCATATTCTTCTTTTTCAGGCAGGTATTATGCGGATGGGACGTGTCCTGAGCTTGAGGTGGTATCTCCAGTATTTGTTCCTTTTCGATGAGACATGTTTCCGTTAGTTAATGTGAATGCAAAGAAAATAACAAAATACAAAATGTCTAAATGCATGATGCATGGAATATCCGAGGCATTGATCCAAAAAATATACTTGTTATTCTGAATAATCCTTATTGGGGACAAAAGTGTTACGTCTGAAGAGACAAAAAACTTTTTAATGGTATAGATCTCACACAGCTTCTGACAAGTTGATTCGTCTTCTGCCTTTTTCACTGGTTGAATATCCTGTCGAACCATTCCGGCTCCTTTGGCTAAACTTGTGCAGGTGATGGTCTGCTTACCCCAAAAGAGGTCTCGAATGACTGCATCTCCGGCTTTCACTCTATGTCGAGCTTGATACAAACGAAAGCGCCATTGGAGCCCTTTATCCAAAGCTTATCGACTTATTTCTGGAATTCGTCAATAATGGTCTCCAGCTTAGCTAGGGTTTCACCATCTTGTTATCTTAGTTTTCAAAAGGAGCGTCTGGGTCAGCGACATTTTCCTCGTCTTGCCCCTGGAACCTTTGCCTCTGAGTATTCTTTGACCACGGATGGACTTCTGAGCTTTTTATCTCTTTGTATTATAACCCCTTTGTCCATTAATATAAACTATCCATGTTTAACAAACACGTTTTTAGTGGATCAACACCTCGTTTAAATGATTCAAGTGATGAAAATAAAATGAAAGAGAAAAAATAAAAAGAGTTAGTGAGGTAAAAATAATAAAAAATAATCATGAAAAATAAAAGTCCTACCCCACATGATGTCTACCCCACATGCTTATTATTCCTACCCGAACATGATCTCTACCCCGCAAGTTGATTTTGAATAAGTTCTAACCGCATACATTTATAGTTCATATGCTTTGAACATGAAAGTAAAGCATGAAACAAAGCAGCCTAGGGTTTGGAATGAGGTTTTGGGGTAGGCTCTAATTCCTTGTATTCTCCCGGTTTAGGTTCTAAAGAGGGTACTCGAGTTCTCCTTACCGGTGCCTCATTGGGCTTGCCAGACCCTTAGTCCTAAGCCCATTACAAGCTTGTGTGGACTAAGTTAAACTCGAGAGGATACATTCCCTTATGCCAGCACGGTGAATAAATTCACACGAAGACATAAGGTACATGAATCCTGAAGGTTTCTTGCTAGGCCCGCACGGTGAATAAATTCACACGAAGGCGTCGCTTTCACCCTCACTTAAAAGGGTTCGGAGCTAGGGTATAGAGCTAGAGATGAAAACTTTGAAAAATCTGAAACCAGTAAAAAAATGTCAATACAACTATTTATTTGAAAAAAAAAGAATCAAAGATAAATAATTGGAATCGAATAAATAAATTTAAATTTACCATTTTTGCATAAAAAAACAACCAAAAATTAATTCTGGTATGACTCACTCACCTGTCCCCAGCAGAGTCGCCAAGTTGTCGGAACCGTCTTTCGATTAGGCTCCGGAATTGGGCTTCGACTTGGATTAAACGGATTGGAGTCGCCACCAACCACTTTAAACTAAATTTAGGTAGGTCGGATACCATCTTACCTGATCTGCGTTGTACTAGAAACGTATCGGGTTCGGGAGTCGGTTACGGTCAAGGAAGGATTAGCACTCTTGAACCGCCCTTTCGGTACCAATTAATTTTTCGGTTGTCTTTAATTGCGAAAATTAAGAATTTAAATTTAAAATTTTGATTCGAATTGCTTACCTTTGATTGGTTGGAAATTCTTCTAAAAATGTTAGAAATAAAGAAGAAGATATATTAAATAAAAGAGAAAAAGAAATTAATATAATAATAATAAATCAAAGGGAGAGAAAAAAACGAATATTAAATCAATTAAAGAGAAAAAGAAAAAAATTTAAAAAAGAAAAAACATAAAATAATAAGTCAAAGGAATAAATAAAAATAGAAAAAATATAATTCATAAAATAAAAAAATGAATAAAATAGAAAATAAAATTTAGTAAAAAGAATAAGAATAGAAATAAAATCAAAAGAAAATAAAATTATTAAAAAAATAAAAGAGGTTAAATATTTTGAAAAAATGGAAAATGTTAAGAAAATTATAAATAAAGAAACTGAAAAATGAATAAAAATAAAAAAGGGATCAAAATGTAAAATTTGCAATAACCGTAGTTAAATCAGAAAAAGGAAAAACAAGTAGTGACTCAATTAAAACATGCAAGACATTTCGGGGCCATTTTCGAATGAAGCATAAATTAGAGGCCAAAATAAAAACATATTAAATTCGGATTCCAAATTGCAATGCTGAAAATTAAATTTAGTGACCAACATGAAAAATATACAACTTACACCCATGCACGAAATTACGGGAAGATCCCTCCCCAAAACGACGTAGTTTCGGGGAGGGTATATATTTACCTAAATCGGCCCATAACCCTCACATCTCTCATTTGTTCAAATCGTCCTCTCTCTCCTCATATGAGAGAAGAAAAAAAATCTCTCTTCTCTCTCCACAGGCGATTTTCGGCAACCGCGTCGATGGTCTCATGCCGCTCCGGCCGTCACCGCCGGTGGCCGGGAGGACCCAAAATTTAACCAAACACTTCCATCTACACCTCAAACCCGATTTCGAAGCCAAATTTATAAAAAAATGCCCCAAGAAGTGTAGATCTAACGAAAACCCTTTCGGGTTTTACTTTTCCGGCGGCCCCTCGCTTTTTCGGTAACCTCTTCGATACGTGCTCCGATGATTTTTCTTTGCTTTGCTTTTGCTTTTGTTGGTTTCGAAAGATCTGTTGGTTTTCTTGTGTTTGGATTTTTTGTTCTTCGACTGTATTTGTTTTGTGTTCGTGGCTATATGTTGTTTTTTTGTGGGGTTAGTGTTCACTGTGGCTCGATCTTTGCTGTTGGTCGATGGTTCTTTTGTCTTTGTGATTTCTGTGTAGTTTTCTCCGTTTCTGGTGATCGGTGTGGTGGTACCTCGGTATGGTTCCCCCTCCAGCGTTCTCACCGAGGGCTTTTATAGCTTCGGTGTGGTTGTTATTTAGCCCCGAGATGAAGGGAATCGTGGCCGTTGTGAAGCCGGTCGTCCTGGGATGGGTCAGTCCCGGGATTATCGGCCGGTCGTTGGCATTGTTAACCGTTTGGCTCCCTGATTTTGCGACGCTGTTGAAACTGTAGAAACCCTAGTCTTTGGCTGTTGGTTACGGGCTGGGTCAGGCCTAATTTTCGGACTCCCTTTTGACCCTGGACAAAATTTCTGAAAAAAAAAGTTAATTAATAAAACAAATAAATAAAATAAAATAATAATATACTAATTAATAAAACTATATAATATATATGTTTAAAAATAATTTTCAAAACTATATAATTTATATTTTCAAAAATTGTTTTAAAAACTTATATATTATGTATATTTTTCAAAACGTTTTAAAAATTATATAATATATATATGTTTTTCAAATATTTTAAAAACTATATATTATATTTATTTTCAAAATATTTTAAAAACTATATAATATATATATTTTCAAAAATGTTTTAAAAACTATATATTATATTTATTTTTAAAATATTTTAAAAACTATATAATATATATATTTTCAAAAATGTTTTAAAAACTGTATAATATATATTTTCAAAAATGTTTTAAAAACTATATATTATATTAATTTTCAAAATATTTTAAAAACTATATAATATATAAATGTTTTCAAACATGTTTTTCAAAACTATATATTATATATATGTATTTTAAAAATATTTTCAAACTATATATATATATATATATATATTATATATATATATATATATATATATATATATATATAAAAGGGACGAAAATGAGTGTCTACACAATTAAAATAAAATTATTTGACGATGATATATGATCAAAGATGTTCAGTAAAAATGACAATGTAAGTTTTTTTTATTAATAATTTAAATTATCAATTAAACATTATTTGACGATGATATATGATGAAAGATGTTTAGTAAAAATGACAATGTAAGTTTTTTTCTGTTAGATTATTTAACGGTATAAGTGATTTATTTTGTTAATAATAAAAGTTGAATGATTTAATTTGATCAAATTAATGGTTTTTTATTTAAATGAAAGTTGGAGTAAAGTTCAATGATCTAGAATACAAATTACTCAAAATTAATGCGGGGAGTAGTTGTCCTTAATTGCTCACTTTTAAAATTAAAGGACTAAATTGCCTCTATTTTTTAGAGGGGCCAATTTGCCCAATTTCGAAATCTTGATAGACTTAAATTGTCATTTTACCCATGTTTATAAATTGGCTGAGAAACGTAACCGAAACCTTTAAATAACCATTTCCTCCTAAAACGAAAACCATTTAGCATCGATCAAAAAGGAGCTTGAGAAATAACATTGCTATCTTTCTCCTTCCAAATCCTTCCTCGATCCCTTCATCGACTCAGTGATTAAACTCCGTTGAGTTTTCCATTGAGTCGATCAATAACCAACTCGGGGAAGGGCGAGTTACCCAGATTGAAAAGCTCTCTTTTCCTATTTTTTTTTTCAATTTGAAAAAAGAAGAATAAAAAAAAGAGAGAATCCGTCCCTTCTCGTTAATCGATGGCATGCGATGTCATAAATTCATGGACATTCACTGGCCTCGTGGGTGCTTTCCTCGATCTTTTCATAGCTTATATATTGCTCTGTGGATCAGCCGTTGCTTATTTCGCTTCAAAAATTCTGGGTTTATTTGGGCTGTCCTTGCCTTGTCCTTGTAATGGATTGTTTGGGTACCGAAACAAGAACATTTGTGTCCAATCCAAGTTAGTCAACGACCCATCAATTAAAATCTCATCCGTTCAATCATCTGTTATGAGAAAGATCCCCTTTGATTCGATCTGGAAAGGTTTTTATCGAGGAGGAGGGGAAGAAGAAGATGCCGATTTCGAGAAATGGCGAAATTGTGACATTGAAATGGGAGGGGAAGCCTCTTCTAGTTCATGGCATGAGAAAGGAAGCTTTGTGTCGATCCCTAAGGGGCCTTGGGGTTGTCTTAGGAGGCGTGAGAGATCTGGTAATAATTTTGATGGGAATTCGTCGTTTTTGTACGATCCTTTCGTTGGTTCGAATTTGAATTTTTCGGCTAGTGTTGATGGTAAGCTTGAGACTCTGGCCAGCACCACTTCGATTAATTCCCAAGGTGATTATTATCTTTTGTAGAACTCTCTTTCTGATCTGTTTTTGTTGTTTCTTTGTGTTGATTTTGTAGGGATGACTAGAAATATATATAATTCCACTCGAATTCGATCTGACTTGAAAAGTATATATCTTCCACCTGATCTAACTTGAAAAATACATTTCCTCCACCAAAACTAATTCGACCCGATATTTTAAAGTATAGAGAAAGGAGATTTTTTACCCTCCACTCGAACCCGACCTACTCACCCCTATATAAAATAAGCAAATAGTTCGAAAAATTATAGAGAAAGGAGATTTTTTACCCTCCACTCGAACCCGACCTACTCACCCCTATATAAAATTCGACCCGATCCGAATCCAAAATTTCTTTTAAAAAATCCGACCTTATTAGGTTGGATCGAGTCGAAATCCATCAGTTTCGGATTAAATTGGCATCCCTATAATTTTGTTGAAATTTCATCTTGGGGATCCTTTGATGGTAGAAATATGTTTAGAATTGATACTGATTTGCATCTGGATAAATCGTTAGTTCTAACGGTTAACGTACGTTGTTGAAATGCATTTTCACATGTAGTTAATAATTGTCATGTTACTTGTCACGTCTTTATCTTAAATGATGTGATATATGTTACATCGTGATCTTAATTGACAAGATTTATAATTCATCATCAATTAAATATATATAAAAATATCACATTAATAACATACAAAAATTATTAGTCAATTCATGATTTTCATCGATCAATAATCATTTTGATAAAACCTATAACGATGAGGGTTAAAGTGTTAGAAAAAATAAAGATCAAAATGTATACTTAAATAAGCGTTGCGGGTGACTCCAGCGTTATACCTACAATCTAATGGACTAGTGATAATTTAAACAAATGTGTTTTTTTGTATGCAATGAGCTATATGTTGTTACGACTCTTCATTTTCTTTTTGAAATATCTATATTTAATGCATATTTTGATATAAATATAGAATATGACTCTCCAACGATTTTTACATTCGAGTTATAGTAACATAGGCAGATTGTGATAGTGTTAAGTTACGGTTGTAAATGAAGCTGCTGGCCATATTCATGAGCATAGAAGAAGGTTTTAGTGTTGAAATTCTGAAGTTGTAGATTGTTTTTAGTGTGTTGGTGACTTGGTTTTTTAACTTGTATTCCTCATTTCGCATGCTAATAACACATCTAATGTCCATGGTTATGTAACTCAGATGGCAAGGAAAGCTTGAAAGAGCTTAAACAACGTTCTCCTCCGGTTTTCGAAATCGATGATGAACCTTTTGCTGTGGCTAAGAAGGAATTAGCAGTGGTTGAGTCCCAGTGCGGCAGCGACAAAAACTCGATTAGAGTCTTAGAACAAGCTCTGGACGAAGAGCATGCCGGTCGTACTGCTCTGTACTTGGAGCTCGAGAAGGAGCGAATCGCTGCTTCTACTGCTGCGGATGAGGCTATGGCAATGATATTGCGCTTGCAAGAGGAGAAGGCGGCCATCGAAATGGAAGCTAAGCAATATCAGAGGATGATTGAAGAAAAAGCTGCGTTTGATGCCGAAGAAATGAACATTCTTAAAGAGATTTTATTGAGAAGAGAAAGGGAAAAACTTTTCTTGGAGAAGGAAGTCGAAGCTTACAAGCAAATGTTCTTCGACAAAGATCAATCGGATACCGATGTATACGACATGACAGCTTCACAGGAACAAATAACTTCATATGTGGAGCCAGTGTTAATGTTGGAGCAGTTCCCTCAATCTATCCTGTCATCGAATCAGTCTCTCGATTTTGGGAAAGAGTTACTGATTCCGGTACTCAGTGAAGATGAAGGCTCTATGAATTCTACCATTGAAAAAGAACACAAACATCCATCGAAAAACGATTACAAGAATCTGTTAGACGAAGAGATAATCCGACCACTGGTGGATTCTGGTATCAATCGTAATGTTCTCGATGTTCATGTCGTTAATGAAGATAGCGAAAACAGAAAGGATAACAAATCAGTTACCTCAACCAGTGATGGACTAGAATCTGAACCTTGTAGGAAAAGAAACAGTTCAGACAGATCTGGTGGGTTGCCACCACTTGCTCCATCACAAGTCAAATCTTTACCTTTGATTTCTCGTCGAAATTCTATGTCTGCTTTCGATTATGAAAAGTATAAAATCGACAATGAAGTCGGGTTGCTTAGAGAAAGGCTGAGGATCATACAGCATGGAAGAGAAAAGCTCAACATCCCTACATGCCCCAAGGAAAGGGAACAATCTCAGAAGCAAACAATGGAAAATATTGCAAATCAACTTCGAGAGATTCGACAATTATCGGTCCCCGGGAAGGCTTTGCGGCAGGCATCTTTACCCTCTCCATCCTCTAAGGTGCTGCATTACTCTCTGCATCATCAAAACCTACATTGTACTTTGTTTTGCATGATTATTTTCTTCTTGCAGTTGGCATTTCTAGGACATTACAGTTCCTTTTTTCTCTTATAACTTGATTGCTTGCTCGAGCTGCATGATTTCAGGTTATGTCGAAGAAAAGACATCGACAAGGTGCTCCTTTAGGAGCGATGAAAAGCAATTGAAGGATGGTACTGACAGAATTTCGATAGATCAGATGAGCTAGATAATTCAATTGGTTGGATCCATTTGTTACCGAGCTGATATCTTCGGACGGTTTCGATCGCAACTTCCCGATGATTGCACAAGTAAGCTGGCTGACACACACACATGTATACATGTTAGTTCCATTGTACTGTTATAGAATCCGTTTTTTACTACTTGGTAGCTCTTTAGGTTCCTGAAAGAAATGAGCTTCCATCGATCAAACTTCTCGTAATTACCACTTCGACCTGGGTTTCGGGTGCTCGACCTTTCATTAAGGTTATTATATGTAGTAATGTCTACAACCGATGTATAGTAAACGATGAATAAAGCTTCCGACTACTGTACCGAACACGAAGTTATTACTACAACGATATCAAGCAGTAAAATATATCAGAAAGTTTCATTTTTCTTTATATATTGATTGATTCTGTTTGCTGTATGTAGTTATAAACTATTAAACTGTAAGTTTGATGCAGATGGTCGTACTATTATTCATTTAACATATTCAAGATTCGAATCCAAACATTTACGATCTTCACCGTATTCCGAATCTAATGAATTTCTTTGTATGGAACAAAAATTTGTAACAAACATATCTACTGCTAATACATGAAAAATGTCATGAATCAGAGACCAACAGAGCATCCCATATCATATCCATGTCCAAGGAAGGCAACCTATTCAACTGTACACCGTCAACATCCGATGACAAAACCTCCATACTTTTCTCTGTATTCCGGTCCGAACCTGAAACTTCCTCCACTGCCGGCTTTGACATTGTCGTCCATGGATCAAGACCGGACTTTTGCGATATGGCCTGCAACTTAGCTTTGAGAAGTGCAGCAGTGTTCCCATTCAAAGAATTGGCTGTCACTTGATCCTTAAGGTCCGGGAAATTCAATTGTGCATATTCTCCACGCAATATGTAAGCCGTCGTATCGTAAGCGATGGCGGCTTCTTCGGCGGTCTCGAAAGTCCCTAACCAAACCCGAGTTCGATTTCTCGGTAGCCTTATTTTGGCCACCCATTTCCCCCAATGCCTTTGCCTTTGCCTTACGCCTTGGTAATGGAAAACTGAATGAAAATAGAAACTGATTATTGTTATAGATTGATTGCTTTACAAGTACACTACTCATCTTTATATACAAGTAACGGTGCATATGTAACAGCCATAACAACTATAACAAAAAGGTTGTTATGCTGTAAACTAACTGAGCTCACTAAGCATTGCTAAACTGAAGCACACAGCATACTCGTTCTTGCTTATGCTGTAGTCCATCCAATATGCTCCTGCTTCTTCCATCTTCAACTTCTTTAAATGACATAACACCCAATCTTTGTCTAAACACATGAAAATAATCTTTTGACAATGCCTTTGTAAATCCATCAGCTACCTGATGCAAAGATGGTACATAGTTCACCTTCAATTTGTTTGCTACCACCTTTTCTCTCACGAAATGTACATCCAATTCCACATGCTTAGTTTTAGCATGATAAATTGGATTGACACTCATTGATATGTCGTTGGAATTATCACTCCAGATGATAGGTGTGCCTTGTAGCTTAATCCCAATACTGTCTAGCAACGTGGTCACCCATGTAGCATCAGAGGAAGCATCACCCAAACTCCTATACTCAGCTTCAGCTGTGGACATGGATATTGTTTTCTGTTTTTTGGAGTTTCATACGACTAGATTACCAGCAAGATACAGACAACTACCTGAGATTGATCTTCTATCATCCTTGTTTCTTGCCCAATCAGCATCTGCAAATGCAACGAGTTGAAACGGCAATTCATTTCGAGACAGAACCAGTCCATGATCCAAGGTGCCATTCAAGTATCTGAGAACACGTTTCACCGCAGATAAATGATGCTCACACAATGCATGCATGAACTGGGCCAATTTATTGACATTGTATGCTATATCAGGCCTTGTGTGACAAGCATACAACAATGATCCTACAAGACTCCTATACTCCTTTGGATCAATGAGAGGACTGCCAGCTTCTTTGGTCAGCTTGAGGGATGAGACCATTGGTGTAGGCATCGGTGTGGCATTGCTCATCTACACTTTATCCAACAATTCCATGATATACTTCATTTGGCTTAGAAACATGCTGTCACCTACATACTTGACTTCAATTCCCAGAAAGAAACTGAGTTGTCCCAGGTCCTTGAGAGAAAATTTCTCTCCAAGCAATCTAACCACTTCTTCTACTTTGCAAACCAAACTACCAGTAATAATTATGTCATCCACATATACTAGGGCATATACTACATATTCCTCTCTTTTCATTACAAACAATGAGCAATCAACAAGTGATGCTTCAAACCCAATATGTATCAGATGTTCCTTTAGCTTAACATACCAGTTTCGAGGGGCCTGTCTTAGTCCATACAGGGCTCAATTTAGCTTGCACACCAAGGGAGTTCCATCAGAGTCAACTTCTTCAAACCCTTGAGGTTGTTACATATAAACTTCTTCATGCAAATCTCCATTTAAAAAGGCATTGTTTATGTGTACCTATCTTAAGCACCACCTCTTTTGTACAGCTACAGCTTGCTACTGGGCTTAATGTGTCTTGAAAATCTTGCCCAGGAATTTGAGAGAAGCCTCTTGCCACTAATCTAGCTTTGTACCTTTGTAATGTGCCATCAACATTTCTTTTTATTCTGAACAACCACTTGCATCCAACTGGGAATCTGCCTTCAGGAAGTCTAACCAGTGTCCATGTATTGTTTTTGACTAAGGCATTATATTCTTCTTGAACAATTGTCTTCCACTTATCAGACTTAAGTGCAGTATAAATTGAATGTGGTTATTCTTTTTCATCATTTTGCATGCTCAGGTACACTTTAGGTTTAAAAATTCCCTTCTTGCTTCTAGTTACCATGTGATGACTAGGGACAACCTTGGAGCTTGATGCAACATTTGAGTCTGGCTGTATTATCTCCTATTGCTCACTCATTATTTCATTTTCAGGACTTATATGTTGCTCAGCTCCAGCTTCTTCAACATCAAGTTCAGGAGTAACAGAATGCATCGAACCATCATCTTCATCTTCAGCATATTGGTTCATCAACCTGGAGTCAGATTCTTAAACTGAACCACCTACAGATGGTTGCGTATTGACTTGTGGATTTTGTGCTATGCAATCATCAACTCGGGCACACACTCTATGAGCACCATTGATGACTGCCAGTTTTCGAGAAGTCAGTTGACATGTGTCAATTATTTTGTCATTGCTTCCTGCAAAAGGAAAATAACACTCATCAAAGACTACATGCCTTGAGATATAGATTTTCCCACTTGGTGCTAAGCACTGATAGCCCTTATGATGAGCACTGTAACCAAGGAATGTGCACGGTTGAGACCTAAAGTCCAGCTTGTGTTGCTGAAACACTCGAAGATGAGGGAAGTACCTGCACCCAAACACACGCATACAACTATAATCTGGAAGTTTGTTATAAAGGGCTTCAAAAGGTGACTTTCCATGCAGAACCTTAGTGGACAGTCTATTTATAAGGTACACTGCTGTACTTACAACATAAGACCAGAACCTTAATGGAACTGATGTTTGTGCCATTAAGACCAAGGTTGATTCAATAATGTGTCGATGCTTTCTCTCAACAACACCGTTTTTCTCTGAGGTGTGAAGGCATGTCAAACGATGGGGAACTCCCATATTGGCCAACACAACAGTTAATGGTATGTATTCTCCACCCCAGTCAGTTTGAAGTTCTCTTATTTCAGTTTCAAACTGAGTTTTGACAAATGCATGAAACAATTGAAAGGCGTGTATTGTTTGATCATTGTTCTTCAGTAAATAAACCCAGCAGTGCCTCGTACAGGCATCCATAAATGACACATAATACCTGAAACCATTCGAGACTATGTGTGAAGGTCCCCATAAATCAAAAAAACTAACTGGAAGGGTTTATCATACAATGTGGTTGACTCATGAAATGATATTTTATGACTTTTCCCCATTCGACAAGCTACACAAACATCTTTACTCTCTTTATTGAATGAAGAGGCAACATCAACCCAATTTGTTTACAAATTTGTATCAATGGAACATGAGCAGGATGCCCAAGTCTTTGATGCCACAAATCATACATTTATTATCATTGATCTTGACTTATTGTCACAAGGTGTATGATCAACAACAAAATGATATAGACTAGCAGTCTCCCATCCTTGCAACATCACCTCTCGAGCTTTCACCAAGCAGTGACTTGCATGAAACTCGAAAAATACCCCATTCTCTCTAGCAAACTTAGAGACATATAAAAGGTTTTTAGTAACATCAGAAACATGCAAAAGATTATTAATATAAAGAGCTCGAGAACTAGTTTGAATGATAAATGAACCAATCTTGTATATATCAAGATTCTGTCTATTTCCCACAACTAACTTACATGGTCCTGAACAATCAGACCCATTGTTAAGTTTGGAACTGTTTGGGGTGATATGGCGAGTAGCTCCTGAATCTATAACTCATTCATCCGAGCTATGTACTGGTGTACATCCATTATTTGTATAGGTATAACATTCATTTTCAAAACCAGTTGCCTGTGCATTGAAAGATTCTTGTTTGTCAGCCAACACTCCAGAAAATGATTGATCAAACCGATGCCAGCATCGATCCACAGTGTGACCCATCTTTCCACACAACTGACATTGTACCATTGCTCTTCCATGACCTCGAAAACTAGTTCAGCCACGAGAGTACTGCTGTGAACTTCTTTCATTCGCAGTGTACTGTGAATCAACAAAACGATCATTAAATTTTCTTTGGTTGTTATTTTGAACATGCATGATATTAGCACTGAGAAGCGGTTGAGATTGCGCTTGAAAGATTTTAAGTTGAGCTTCAACATCAATTAATATAGAATGAACTCCATCAACTGTGAAGGCATCTTTGCTTGCAGTAATAACAGCAACAAACGGCTGATATTCAAATGGAAGTCCATTTAGGATTGTGGCAATCTGATCAATATCAGATATCGCACTGCCACATGCTGCAAACGCATCACAAACTTCTTTGATCGAAGTAAGGTATGATCGCATGCTCTCATCTCCTTTCTTGATGGCCCGTAATTTGTAGTGCACGCTCATTATACTGGTAGTCAATCGATTTGAAAAGAATTTAAGCACAGTAGCCCATACCTCAGCAACAGTTTTAGCACCAACAAATTGCGGGAGGAGGTGATCACTGATGGTGGATAATAGCCAAGAGGCTAGGGCACTATCTTGTGCGACAAAAACATCATGCTCTTCATTGATTACAAGATTACCATCAGTATCCAATATTCTCTCAGATGGAGAGCAAAGATCGCTGGTGAGTAACCTCTCAAGTCGATGACTTCGAACTGTTAAGAGGACCTGCTACTTCCATCGAAGGAAATTCATCTCATCAAGCATGATGTTTATGCGTTTATTAGTGAACATCTTGCTGGGCCTCAACGACTCTGATCCTTCAAGAATGTTTCCAGGGCCACCGAATGCCATGACACCAACTCTTGCAAGAAGGATTCAGAATCTTGCCAAGAAGTATCACGCAGCAGAAGAGGAAAAGAAACTTATCCTAGAACCAGCTGAGCGATTGATACCATAATGGAAAACTGAATGAAAATAGAAACTGATTATTGTTATTGATTAATTGCTTTACAAGTACACTACTTATCTTTATATACAAGTAACGGTGCATATGTAACAGCCATAACAACTATAACAGAAAGGTTGTTATGTTGTAAACTAACTGAGCTCACTAAGCATTGCTAAACTGAAGCACACTGCATACTCGTTCATGCTTGTGCTGTAGTCCATCCAATACTCGGAATAGTTTCCGGGGCGATGAACATACCTTTTGCTGCTGGCTTCGAAATCTTCGCCCAACTCCTCTATGTTTCATGGGGTGTGTCTTGGTTGTGCTGAGCCAATGGTTACTGAAACCTTTATCGGATTGATGATTTGTGAAGCTTTGATTGATTCCAGGCCATTGTTAAGGCACCTGCAACGGTGGATTTTCGATAATGGAGTGGATGACTGGTTCTGATGGACCGAACACAGTCGGTTCCGTCGGAAACAACGTGACCTCCATTGATGGAGAAGCTGGAACTGAAAGCGGTGATGACGAATCCCAAATGATTGGATTGTTCAAAAATGGTGAAGCTGTTGGGATTCCGTGACTAAGAGATGGCCATTGCTTGTTCATGAAGGTTTCCATTTTAGGAAACTGATAATCCAAACTCATGATTTTGACCCCAAAAAAATCACAATAATTGAAAGAGATGCGAAATGATCAAATGAAAGCACTAAGGCTTATATATAATCCTCAATCCGAAGGTTAAAAAAATTAATTGCGTTAATAAAAAAATATTATTTGTTTTAGAGATTTTATATTTTAATAGTTAGATCATAATGATCGGCAGTGAGTAAAACTCAATTTAACTTTAAAAATCGATATTTTCGATTCGAATCGAATAAAAAAACTCTATTCGAATTGATATCGAGTTGTCATTTCATAAACTCGACTCGAAAAAAATTCAAAGTTAAGTCGAGTTATAAAATACAATTCAAATAAATTGAAATTTTTAGTAATTAGTTGATTAATTTTCAAGTTTGACTCGAGTCCCTCGAGTCTGTAT